GTTTTTATGACAAAAGTTACTATTTTTAAAGATTTTATTTATTCATCTGAGAGAAAGAGAGAGAATGTGTGCCCGTGAGCAGGGGGAGCAGCAGAGGGAGAAGCAGATTCCCCGCTGAGCAGGGAGCCTGATGCGGGACTTGATCCCAGGACCCTGGGATCATGACCTGAACTGAAGGCAGACGTTTAACCGACTGAGCCAGCCAGGTGCCCCTGACAAAAATTATTTGAAGCATTACCCAATTAAAAAAAAACTTTCACAAATTTAGAATCACATTTGATTTCTTCATCTTTCATATCTAATCAGTTTATTTACACTTAGTAATTGAATTTTGAATTAAGGTCATACTGTGATTGGAAATGACCTTAGATTTTGCAGATTAATACCTGTTAGAAGTGTGTTTCCGGTCTGCAGTGACATGAGTGCAGAATGTGAGAGTAAACGTTTAAAGACTTTTATAGCAATTTGACATTGCCATGACATCAGATGCATGATTTTTATATTTTTCAGAAATAGCAGTTTGGCAGATTAGAAATACATACATTGTTCTTTACCACAGATTTTCTGAGAAGCATTGATATAGACCAGTAATTTTCAAACTCATTTAAAAGTTTTAAAGCATTTAAATACATTCATCAAACCAGACCTTTCCATGGAAGCACAGTGTCAAAACACACAAAAGTGAAGTTTTCTTTAGAATTTGTCTCAGCCTGGGCGCCTGGGTCGCTCAGTTGGTTAAGCGACTGCCTTCGGCTCAGGTCATGATCCTGGAGTCCCGGGATCGAGTCCCGCATCGGGCTCCCTGCTCAGCGGGGAGTCTGCTTCTCCCTCTGACCCTCTTCCCTCTTGTGTTCTCTCTCATTCTCTCTCTCTCAAATAAATAAATAAATAAATAAAATCTTATTAAAAAAAAAAAAAGAATTTGTCTCAGCCTGAGGATCCCCAAACTCCTACAGCAGCTTCCGCAGGGCCACCATGGGGTTCTCAGAGCACATTTCGACCCCCACTGGTTTATGGAGGCCAGCCTACTCCTTTACTATTAACAAATTAGGACATATTTATATCCCGTGACAGAAAAAGAGTAGTTTTTCCTAATATATAAATATATCTTACAAATTGTTACCCAAAAAAGAACAAAAACCTCCCAAACCCCCAACTAGATCTCAAGTCAACACCTGGAACTTGGAGCATCTGCCCTTGTGATTTTTGTCTTGGGATTGTTTTTTAAACTTTCGTTTGTCATCTTTGTGAGGTCCTACTACCTGTGGAATGGTTCACTCCACTGGCAGCCATCGACCTCAGCCTCAGCCTCACTTTATAGGCATACCTCGTCTTACAGTGCTCCGCTTTAGTGCGCTTTCCAGATACTGCATTTTTTACCCTGTGTCCAACAACCTGTTGGCACCATTTTTCAAACAGGAGTTGCTCATTTCATGTCTCTGTGTCATGTTTTGGTAATTATTGCTGTATTTCAAACTTTTTCACTGTTACTGTATTTGTTACAGTGATCTCTGATCAGTGATCTTTGATGTTACCATTGTAACTGTTTTTGGTTTGCCACAAACCATGCCCAAATAAAACAGCAAACTTAATAAATGTGTGTGTTCTGACCGCTTCACTGACTGCCCTTTCCCCATTTCTCTTTCTCTCCTTGGGACTCTATTCCCTGACAGACAGCAATACTGAAATTAGGCCAGTTAACCACACAGTGGCCTGTGAGTGTGCAAGTGAAAGGTAGAGTTGCACGTCTCTTTAAATCAAAAGCTAGAAATGATTAAGTTTAGTGAGAAAGGCATGTTGAAAGCCAAGATAGGCTGAAAGTTAGGCCTCCTGCACCAAATAGTTAGCAACTTTTGACTGTAAAAGAAAAGTTCCTGAAGGAAATTAAAAGTGCTACTCAAGTGTACACACACATGATAAGGAAGCAAACAGACTTAATACTGATGTAGAGAAAATTTTAGTGGTTTGGACAAAAGGTCATACTAGCCACAACAGTCTCCTAAGCCAAAGCCTAATCTAGGGCAAGGCCCTAACTCTCTTCAATTCTGTGAAGGTTAAGAGAGGTGAGGAGGCTGTACAAGAAAAGTCTGAAACTAGCAAGGGTTAGTTCATGAGGTTTAAGGAAGCCATCTCCATAACATGAAAGTACAAGATGAAGTAGCACCTGCTGATGTAGGAGCTGTAGCAAGTTAACCAGGAGTTCCAGCTAAGATAATTCATGAAGGCGGCTACACTAAATAGCAGATTTTCAATGTAGATCACACAGCTTTCTATTGGAAGAAGATGCTGTCTAGGACTTTGATACCTAGAGAAGTGAAGTCAGTGCCTGGCTTCAAAGCTTCAAAGGACACACTCTTATTACAAGCTAATGCAACTGGTGACTATAAGTTGAAGCCAGTGGTCATTTAACACTCTGAAAACTCCTAGGACCCTTAAGAATTATGCTAAATATACTTTGTCTTTCATCTATAAATGGCACAGCAAGGCCTGGATGATAGCACATCTGTCCACCACATGGGTCATTGAATATTTTAAGTCCACTGTTGAGACCTCAGAAAAAAAGATTTCTGTCAGAATATTACTGCTTATTGACTGTGCACCTGGTCACCTAAGAGCACTGATGAAGATGTACAATGAGAGAGTGTTGTTTTCATGCCTGCTAACATAACATCCATTCTACAGCCCCTGGATCAAGTCTTGTTATTGAGGAAATACATTTCCTAAGGCTATAGCTGCCATAGAGGGTTATTCTTCTAAGGGATCTGGGCAAAGTAAATTGAAAATCTTCTGGAAAGGATTCATACTTCTAGATGCCATGAAGAGTGTTCATGACTCATGAGAAGCGATCACAATATCAGCATTAACAAGAGTTTGGAAGAAGTCAATTCCAACCCTCGTGGATGACTTGGAGGAGTTCAAGACTTCAGTGGAGGAAGTCACTGCAGATGTGGTGGAAACAGCAAGAGAACTAGGTTTAGAAGTGGAGCCTGAAGATGTGGCTGAATTGCTACAATCTCATGATAAAACCTAATGGATGAGGAGTTACTTCTTATGGATGAACAAAGAAAGTGGTTTTCTGAGATGGAATCTACTCCTGGTGAAGATGCTGTGAAGGCTGTTGAAGTGGCAACAAAGGATTTAGAATATTTCATAAACTTTGTTGACAGAGCAGTGGCAGGGTTTGAGAGGATTGGCTCCAATTTTGAAAGAAGTTCTGCTGTGGGTAAAATGCTAGCAAACAGCATCACGTTCTACGGAGAGATCATTATTGAAAGGAAGAGTCAGTCACTGCCGCAAACTTTGTTGTATCATTTTAGGAGGCTCCCACAGCCACTCGAGCCTTCAGCACCCCCACCCTGACCAGTCAGCAGCCGTCACCATTGAGACAGGACCCTCCACCAGCAAAAAGGTGTCTACTGGCTGAAAGCTCAGATGATGGTTAGCATTTTTAGCAATAAAATATTTCTTTTTTTTAAATTTTATTTATTTATTTGGCAGAGAGAGACACATCGAGAGAGGGAACACAAGCAGGGGAGGTGGGAGAGGGAGAAGCAGGCTTCCCGCTGAGCAGGGAGCCCAGTGCGGGGCTTGATCCCAGGACCCTGGGACCATGACCTGAGCCGAAGGAAGACGCTAAACGACTGAGCCACCCAGGAGCCCCTAGCAATAAAATATTTCTTAATTAAGGTATATATTACTGTTTTTTAGACATAATGCTATCATACACTTAAAAGATTACAGTGTAATGTAAACATAATTGTGGAGTGGGAAACCAAGAAATTCGTTTGACGTGGTTTGAGTATTTGCTTTATTGTGGTGGTCTGCAACCCAAGCTACAGTAGCTCCGAGGATACCTGTATTTTGTTGACTTGTGGCAGTGACTTCTAGGGCCTTACAAAGTGAATTTTATATTTCTGACACTGTATTTATATATCCTTCATATTTGGTAAATAAAGTTACGCATAGAAAGGTAACATTTTTCCATAGATGTCATAGATCTATTTATTTCATTCATTTGTTTGAAATCCTCCATTATCTTCAGGTTGCTGTTAAGATAAAGACCAATGACTATGCTCAGCCTTCCCTCCGGCTACTTCTCTTGCCAGATAGCTCACCTATTTTACCTGCACTTCCTACTCTTTCCAGCCAACTTGGCTTTTTTTTTTTTACTTTTTTTAAGTGCCTGGTTTTGGCCCATTTCAGGATCCTAGCACATGATCTTTTCCTGCTACCCAAACCCAGATTGGCTACCTCTTATTTCATCAAGTCTTAGCTTCAACGTCATCTTGGGGGACGCCTGGGTGGCTCGGTCGGTTAGGCGTCTGCCTTCGGCTTGGGTCATGATTGCAGGGTCCTGGGATCGAGTCCCGTGTCGGACTGCCTGCTCTGCGGGGAGCCTGCTTCTCCCTCTGACCCTCCCCCTCCTTGTACTTGGGCTCGTTCTCTCTCCCTCTCAAAAATGAATGGAATCTTTAAAAAAAATAATAAACATCATCTTGGGGAAACTCTATGTCCCTACTTTACTAGCTTAGTCTCTATAGTGTATTCTCATACTGTCCTGTATTTTTTTCCTCCGTGACATTATCCCAGTTGAAATAATTAGTGTGTGGTGTTACTCATTTGTGCGTTCTCGCTGTAGGTTGTCACCTGTGCAAGTGTAGAAACCATGTCTACCTTGTCCATTGCTGTATCCTCACTTTTTGGCAGTGTCCAGCACATAGTAGATGTTTGATAACTGGCGGAATTATGGTATGTGCATAAAATCTTAGGGTCATTTTTTTTTCTTTTTTCTTTTTTAGGTTAAAGAAAGACCTGATGTGGGAGTTTATATCAAAGATTTATCAGCTTACGTGGTAAATAATGCTGATGATATGGATAGAATTATGACACTAGGCCACAAAAATCGTAAGTGTAGTACAGAATTGTGATTGAACATTTGTGTATTGAGTAGGCTTTTAGAAGCAAAACTGGTATGGCACTTTGCCCCACAGAGACTGGATTTTTAAAGTTTCTTGACAACCCTTTCTCCTTGATTATTTACTATGTAGAGAACATACATGAATGAAAGAGATAACACATTGCCTTCTGTGCTGACCAAAATTTTGTTTCTTGGTAATACTGCTATATATTTGAAACTCATATAGCTAGTTGTCTCTTTTTAGCTATAATAATATTGGTTACATTTATTGAACACTTACTGTGTGGTGAGTGCTTGTGCTAAGTGCTTTCTTTATAAGAGTGATCTTTTTAAAATTCTCAAACTGAACCATGAATGTACTAAATTCCTATTTTATGACTGAGGAAACCAAGACTTAGTCTAAGTAACTTGTCCAAGGTTATGTACTACTTAGTAAGTGGCAGAGTGAGTATCTGAACCTAGGCCATTGGTCATCATTAACCGAGCACTTTACTGACTCTCTTTTGTTGACAAGAAAAGCAAACCAAAATTAAATGACATTCTTTTTGTTTTATTTATTTTTAAAAGATTTTTTATTTGTTTATTTGACAGTGAGAGAGAGAGAGAGAGCGAGAGCAGGAACACAAGCTGGGCGCGTGGGAGAGGGAGGAGCAGGCCTCCCGGCCGAGCAAGGAGCCCGATATGGGGCTCGATCCCAGGACCCTGGGATCATGGCCTGAGCTGAAGGCAGACACTTAACGACTGAGCCACCCAGGCGCCCCTAAATGACATTCTTTTTAATAATATATGAAGTTTTGTCTAAAGAATAAAAAGTTGCAGTGCTATTTAATACACAAAATGCCCCAGGCTTAATACTAGTGATGTTGCTAGCAGCAATTAGAGATCAGAGGTAAAGAACAAGAACATAGAAAGTAAACATTTTTTTAAAAGTGTTTTTTGGCTAGACTATAAATCTAGCAAACTCAAGGAAATTAAAGAAATAATTAAAAAATCAGTTGCATTTTTATAAACCAGGTAGTAGAGGAAGGCCAAATTGCAACAGAAAAATGAGCAAAAGATGTGCATGAGTATGTTATTCCCAGAAGAACTATACACATGAACAAGCATACCACAGGATGTTCAATTTGACAAGTAATTGGGAACATGGGTATTAAAACAACAGTGGGAGATATTTTACCTGTTGTTTTGGATGGAGGGATATCCAGGTTCATAAAGCTCTGAAGAGATGGGCACTGGTGATGGGAATGTCAAGTGCTCCAGCCTTTTTGAAGGGGAGTGTAACAGTATCTGCTGAAATTTTTAAAATGCATTTCTTTTGACCCAGTGTTTCTAATTTGAATATGTATCTAGATACATATCGATATATCTATATTGATAAATATCTAGAAAAATATCTTTAGACATAAACAATGACTTATTGAAACATTATTTGTAATAGCAAAAAGTTTGATGCAGTCTAACTATCAGTAAAACATTGGTTATATAAATTATGGCACAGAAATACTATGGACCGTAATGAAGCTATTAAAAAAAAGAGTTAAATCTACATGTAGAGAATCTTGAAAGATTTTCAAGATACATCGTTAAGTGAAAAGAAAGGAAATTACAGAATAGTATGTACTGCATCATCCCATTTATAGATGTGGAAAAAAGCCAAATTGTTGAACAGCTATGTATTTGGGCAGTGTGTGTGTGTATGTATCAACTTGTGTGTATGTTAAACACTAGTGAAAGGACATTTAATAGTGGTTACCTTTAGGTAAGGGGCAGTAAGATTGGAGAACAGGGATATATGGAGCTTTTACTTTATGTTTTTGTATGTCTGTATTTCTGAATTTTTTTTATACCAGGAGTATATGCATGTATTGCTTATTCAGTAAAAAAATTTTTGACTTATGATTCCATTCATAGTAATGATCAAAACCACCCCTTCAAAACAAAACAAAACAACAAAAACCCCCCACAAAAACCTTCCATAAACAACTGAAAGTTTAATTTGGTATGTGAGATTCATTCAAGGAAAACTAAACAATTCTAATGAGAGAAATGAAATGAAATGAAGACAAAGGCATTTGAAGACCTAAGAGAGCAGAGGAAAATATTCTTACTCTAAGAATTAGACATTTACACTCTTACAAGTATTCAAGTAGAAAATATCTAAGATATTACAGATACCCAAGTAGAAAAGTTCTAACATAAAAATACTAATTTTATCATATTGAAATAGAGTAAAATAACTATTCAGGGGAAAATAGCAGAGGGAGGAAATGTGACAGTAAATACAGCTGCTATTTTAAATAGATGAAAAATTGGTACAAATATAAAATTAGTTCCTGTTTTGTCCAGGTGGTCACAGTATAGAAATAGTTAATTTTGCACTTAAGAAAATAAGCCTTTCATCCCATGAACAAATAGGTGACCTGCTTAGCAATTAAAATGCATTCAAAATAGTCACTTACATTTGCATTGTGGGCACCATTGTAAATTGGCTAATATTTCTGTAGAGCAGGGCTTTTCAGCCATTAAACCATTATCATTTTCTTTAAAAAATATTCTTTTTGAATAGGTAATCTATACACATGTAAAATTCAAAAGGCACCAAAGTATACATTGAAAAACAAGTCTTGGGGCGCCTGGGTAGCTCAGTTATTAAGCGTCTGCCTTCGGCTCAGGTCATGATCCCAGGGTCCTGGGATCGAGCCCCACATCAGGCTCCCTGCTCCGTGGGAAGCCTGCTTCTCCCTCTCACACTCCCCCTGCTTGTGTTCCCTCTCACTGAGTCTCTCTCTGTCAAATAAATAAATATAATCTTTAAAAAAAAAAAGAAAAAGAAAAACAAGTCTTTCTCCTACCCTTGGGTCTCAGTCACCTAGTTCCCACGCCTGGTGGAACTCCCATTACTTTGTCATGTCCCCTTCCTGATACCGTCTTTGTATGCCTAAGTGTGTATTTTTATTAATTATTTTTTTAAGATTATTTATTTATTTGCCAGAGAGAGCACAAGCAGGGGGGTGGCAGGCAGAGGGAGAAGCAGACTCCCCGCAGAGCAGGGAGCCCGATGTGGGACTCGATCCCAGGACATGAAAATATAGGAGATAATCTTAAGTGGAAAAGCCAGAAGATAAAATAATACTCCGTATGTGTATCACTACTGATCAGATGTTATGAAGTGGTGTTAGATTTTATTTTGTTTTTTTAAAGATTTTATTTTTAAGTAATCTCTGCACCTAATGTGGGCTCAAACTTAAAACCCTGAGATCAAGAGTCACATGCTCCACTGATTGAGGAAAGCAGGTGCCCCTGGATTTATTTTTTAAGTATTTTTGGAAAAAATACGTAAGTTTGTAATATGATTTAAAAAATTTGTGTGGAGTCACAAATCCTTGTATTTTCTTTCACTAATTTTTGTTTTATCTTCTTCCATTGGGCATTCCTTTATGACTGCAGTTTACATTCTAATTATCTGACTTCTAATATAACCACATGCTAATAAAGAATACCCTTTTAATCTTCAAATTATAAAATCAGCTTGCATGGAGAAATTCTGCATGAATATATAGTAAGAAGATAATTTTGACATTGGCTAAAATTAACAAAATGCTTTTCAAATACTTGGCAATTAAAAAAAACTAATACATGCCTACTATAAAAAACAAAACAGACCTTTTTCTTTACATAATACACTTATGTAAAATATTTATACTCACATAAATACTTGGTATATTTTGAGTGGATGCTTTTGTTTAATAGAAATAGAATTGTACTATATATTCCTTTCTCTGTTTTTTTTTGTTTTTGTTTTTGTTTTTAGTTCATACGTTATGTGTATCTTTCCACGTCATACATACAGATCTGTTTTGTGTTTTTAAAGGACTGTTTAGGGGCGCCTGGGTGGCTCAGTTGGTTAAGCGACTGCCTTCGGCTCAGGTCATGATCCTGGAGTCCCGGGATCGAGTCCCACATCGGGCTCCCTGCTCAGCAGGGAGTCTGCTTCTCCCTCTGACCCTCTTCCCTCTCGTGCTCTCTATCTCTCATTCTCTCTCTCTCAAATAAATAAATAAAATCTTTAAAAAAAAAAAATAAAGGACTGTTTAGTAGTCCATAGTATGACTATTTTTCTTTAGATTTTATTTATTTATTTAGAGAGAGAGCATGCAAGTGGGGGTGGAGGGCTGTGGGAGAGGAAGAGGGAGGGTTCGATCTCACGACCTGAGCCAAAATCAAGAGTCAGACGCTTAACTGACTAAGCCACCCAGGTGCCCCATGACTGTTCTTTAATAGATTGGCCACTGTCCTTTTGGTTGTTTCTGATCTCTTGATATTGCAAACAGTGCTGTACTGAATATCCTGTATCATCTCATGCATATATGCAAGTATTTCTGTGATTTAGATTCTCGGAACGTAATACTTTTTAGAGACAGCTGAAACAGCAATAATTTTTTAAATTATTTAACTTTTTTTTTAAACCTAAGTTAGTTATTTTTTTAGTAATACTTGGGATTGAAATTAAGTATTTTATCCTAAAATTACCTTTGTAGTATGAGAAACATTACAAATTCTTTTGTTATCAACATAAATTGTCAAGAGAAATTTCTAATGTTAAATAAACCTATGCTTTTCTGGTTTAGCCATGCTCTCTGGCTCTTCGCTATGATGAAATTAAGTATTTCAAACCATTCTGGATATTTAATTATTTTTAAAAATACTCCCTCTTGTTATACCTTTTAAGAATTTCCTTCCTTTCTTCAAGGTTCTGTTGGTGCAACTAATATGAATGAACATAGTTCCCGTTCCCATGCCATCTTTACAATTACTATAGAATGCAGTGAAAAAGGCGTTGATGGTAACATGCATGTCAGAATGGGGAAGCTCCATCTTGTAGATCTTGCTGTAAGTAACAGGACGCTACTCAAGGAATAACTTGTGATTTTTTGCATTTTATAAGTGAATAAAAATTCAAGTGAGAATGTGTGATTTACATACAGTTTTTAAGTTGTTTGTGTATGTGTTTTTAACTTATTATTTATTATGGAATATTTCTAACTTCTAATGTCTACAAAAGTACTAAGAACAGTATGCTCTCCCATGTACCCATGATTCAACTTCAATCCATTCATGGCCAGTTCTGTTTCATTTCTATCATCAGCCACTTTTTCCCTTCCTGTATTATTTTGAAGCAAATTCCAGATACCATAGCAGATTTTTTAGTGTCAAATTTTGTTTTAAACTTTCAGAGGAATATTCTGTATTTTTAATTTTAGCTTTATTTCTGTCTCTGTTTATTGCTAGGGTTCAGAAAGACAAGCAAAAACTGGAGCTACTGGACAGCGTCTAAAGGAAGCCACAAAAATCAATCTTTCGCTTTCCACCCTTGGTAATGTAATTTCTGCCTTGGTTGACGGAAAAAGCACTCATGTTCCTTATCGCAACTCTAAACTGACTCGTCTTCTTCAGGATTCCTTAGGAGGAAATTCAAAAACCATGATGGTAAGACTTAATTGTAGAATAGTTATCATCAGGAAAATTTCAGATTCCTGTTTATGCCAGTAATTGCTATGCATAACATTTTTAAAACTATTGATTATTTCACTTGTGATTTGTGGTTATTCTTTTTCAAGTACGCTGTGTGTGCTAATCCATATAATGGTGTTTGGAAATCCATGTGATTGATGCTTTCTTGTTCAAGAAGCTAGAGGAGAACAACTATATTTCAAAAGTTCTTTTTGATGTATTCATAATGGTAGTATTAATTTTAACTGCATCAAGTGTAAAATGTTTTGTATTCCTAATTCAACAGTGTGCAAATATTGGGCCAGCAGATTACAATTATGATGAAACTATCAGTACATTACGGTATGCTAACCGTGCTAAGAATATTAAAAATAAAGCTAGAATTAATGAAGACCCAAAGGATGCTTTGCTTCGCCAGTTTCAGAAAGAAATAGAGGAACTGAAAAAAAAGCTTGAAGAAGGTAACTTTTTCTCAAAATATTAATGTGAATGTTGGCTAAAAATATGTTGCTTAACCACGAAATGTTCTAATAAAAACAACTTATTAAAATTCTTTGAGCATCTAACTTTGATACTGAAAGCAATATTTCTGCAAGGTAACTTGATACACACTTTAGCATTTTCATATTAAGTTTAAGTATAATTATGCAATATTTGTGTATGTAATTTTTTAAAAATTCATTTAATTTAAACCTCCATCTCAATCCTCTCAGTCCCCATTTCCTTTTATAGATTTTATTTGGCCACTTACTAAATAATGAATTTTTTTTGTCTTTGTATAAGAGCAAGTTTTACCATATATGTATTTAGGTGAAAATGACCCAGAGTTCTTTGAGAAAGATTTTAGTCACTAATATTCAAAGTAAAGAAACCTATCAGAGTCATGGGTAAACAGAATTTACTATAAGTAAAAATTCATTGTGTGACTTTGAAAATATGCTTTCATGCTTAAATTTGAACATGAGATTCTGTTTGGAGAATCCTTTTCTAACAAGATGTTAGAAGGTTAGAAAGTCTGAAGACCTTGTTCATGAGGATGAGAAATTCACAGACTGTCTTTAAGTGCTCAGTGACTCTACACTTTCATGCTAAGAACTGATTGGCATAGGGCTCCTTTTCATACCAGGTAAACAAAAGGCTTCAGAATGGTTTTTTTTTTTTATAGTTTGTGGGGAAACTGGATAGAACAAATGTGGGTTGCAGAGATGCCACCATCACAGATGTTTGGAAAGGGTACTGATTCAATAAACTTGAGTAAGATTTTTTGAGGAAAAGCAGTAATTGAGCTGCCTCTTAGATAATGAAATTTGGTATTTTAAATATGACCACTAGGTGGTATTTATAGTCAGTATGTTTTAAAGATTTAAAATTTCTTAGATTTGTTAATGTTCAGTTCACACCTTTATTTTGCTGCCTTTATTTTTTTACATTTTTTCATTGTGGCAAAATAAACCTAACATAAAATTTACTACCTTATCTATTTTTATTCTGTGGCATTAAGTATGTTAACATTGTTCTGTAACCATTACCGTCATCCATCCCTAAAACTTTTTACTCATCCCCAAATGAAGCTCCGTACCCATTAAACATTAACTCTCCATCCCCCTCTCTGCCTCAGCCTCTGGTAACCACTATTCTGTCCCTGAATTTGACTATTCTAGATAACTCATATGAGTAGAATCATATAATACATGTGCTTTTGTGTCTGGCTTATTCAACTTAGCATGATGTCTTCAAGGTTCATCCATATCATAGCATGTGTCAGAATTTCCTTCCTTTTTAAGGCTGAATAATATCCTATTGTTTGTATATACCACATTTTGTTTATCCATTCATCTTTTGGTGGACACATGGGTCGCTTCTGCCTTTTGACTACTGTAAATAATCTGGCTATGAATGTGGGTGTACAGATATGTGTTGAATTCTTGCTTTCAGTTCCTTTGAGTATATACCCAGAAGTGGAATTGATTGATCATGGGGTAATGCTGATTTTATTTTTAAGACATTTCATTTCACTGATGCTTATGACATTTATTTTTATAATCCAGTTAACAGTTGAGTGTTATAATATGGTAAATACAGTTGATCATATAAACAATAAAAATCAGGCAAAAACATTAAAAGAGTAATTTTTGAAAATTTTTATAGACTTCTAGAAAACTTGGAAGTATAGTGAGTTCCTATATACTCATCACTCAGCTTCCCCTTATGTTAACATTTTATATGACTGGAACATCTTCCATTGAACATCTTACAGTTATTGGCATCAGGAGTTTTACATTGATACAGACTTATTAACTCATCTATCGATCTTATTCAGATGTTGAGTTTGCCCTCTAGTGCCCTTTTCCCTAGTCCAGGATGCAGTCTAGCATCACAGTGCATTTAGCTGTCTCCTCTAGTCTCCAGTTCCTCATCTTTCTCTGTCTTTCATGGTCTTGACACTGTAAAAGTTATATATTTGTAGAATGTTCCTCAATTTGGGTCATCTGTAGTTCTCTCATAAGTATTCTGCAAGGTTTCTTCACTCTAAATTCTATAATTTTACATTTTCCGTTGAACTTAAGGTGTGTCTTGTGGTGAGATACTTTGAAACTACTAAAAGGTCCTGTTTCTTATATTTTTTCCCACTAGTTTGAGCATCCATCAGGGGTTCTTGCCAGCAACAATAATTCTGTGGCATTTGCTCCTTGATGACTTTGTCTTCTCGGCATCCTTTTAATGTTTAATGTTTGGAATTCTGTTGTAAGGGGGAGTAGTCCCTCCTCCCCTATTTGTTTATTCAATTATTTATTTATGTCAGTATTGACTCAGGGATATTTATTTTAGTCTGTGCATTATATAATACAATAATATCATTATTTGTTTTATTGCTCAGATTGTTTGAGCTTTTGCCATAGGAGCTCCTGAATTCAGGGTAGTTGCTACATCCTTTCAGCATACTTCCATCAGTTTTTTGATTTTTGGTTTTGAGTGCTTTCTTTATTTCCGGCACCACAGATGTTTCTTTTCTTCTTCTTCTTCTTCTTCTTCTTCTTCTTCTTTTTTAAGATTTTATTTGTCAGAGAAAGTGTACAAGCAGGGGAACCAGCAGGCAGAGGGAGAAGCAGGCTCCCCGCTCAGCAACAAGCCAGATGCGGGACTCGATTCCAGGACGTTGGGATCATAACCTGAGCCGAAGGCAGATGCTCAACTGACTGGGCCACCCAGGCGTCCCTTAGGCTCATTTTATACATTCCTTACCCTGGCATAAAACCATCTCTTTCTCCCTAGCTCCTTTTTAGTGGAGAATGGTATTTATTTATTTATTTGTTTATTTATTTAAAAAAGATTTTATTTATTTATTTGACAGACACACAGCGAGAAGGGAACACAAGCAGGGGGAGTGGGAGAGGGAGAAGCAGACTTTCCGCTGAGCAGGGAGCCCGACATGGGACTCGATCCCAGGACCCTGGGATCATGACCTGAGCCAAAGGCAGATGCTTAATGACTGAGCCACCCAGGTGGCCCTAGGGGAGAATGATATTTAGAAACTAAAACTTGGGCATTAGGTGCATTCATTACAACCAGGGTGTCATTGTTAACTAGGCCTAAAGAAAATATTTTTAATGAATTCTTTCTCCCAATATGCTTATCTCTTCCTATCCATTATTTACTGGTTTAGATATTATCATTTGTGATTATTGTATATTTATTTTTCTCCCCAAATACCTGTTTTTTTACACATCATACACGGACAGTGTTATTTTTAAATAACTATTTTGAAGGTAATATAGTACTGATCTGCATTATTAGTTTAATTATACCCTTTGATTTTTGTTTTTAAGTTATTATACTCTTTGTACAAATAAGCCCTTCTTCTTTTCTTTTGATATAGTCCTGAAAGTGGGATAACTGTGTTAGATGAGTTTTATGGTTTTTAAAAAATACGCAGGTTGAATGAATTTTTAAAAATCTTAAACAGAGGAGTGCCTGGCTGGCCTAGTTGATGGAGCATGTGACTCTTGATCTCAGGGTTGTGGGTTTGAGCCCCATGTTGGGTGTAGAGATTACTTAAGAAAATATTTAAAAACTAAAATCTTATACAGAAAACTGAGGAGAAAATGCTCCCCCAAAGTGATTCCTTTTTTAAAAAATTGAAATAATGACTTTAACTTGAAATTTTTATATATACGTAGAACTTTATTTAAACTAATGATTTGAAATTGTAAGTAGATCAGAATTTATTTTTGAAAGATTTTATTTGAGAGAGCAAGAGAGGGAGCACAAGAAGTGGGGAGCACAAGCAGGAGGGGAACATGAGCAGGTAGGTGCAGCAAGGCTCCCCGCTGAGCAGAGAGCTGGATGTGGGACTCCATCCCAGGACCCTGGGATCACGACCTGAGCCGAAGGCAGGTGCTTAACTGACTGAGCCACCCAGGCGCCCTTTAAGTAGATCAGAATTTAACTTCTCTTTAGGAACTTTAAAATAAAGCCTCTGAGGTTAGCATGTGATATACTGTTTGGGAATATTAAAATACGTTTTGTTTAGGGCCACAAACTTATATCTTTTCCTGAGGTTAGCATGTGATATACTGTTTAGGAATATTAAAATACGTTTTGTTTAGGGCCACAAACTTAATGGCAGGCCATAACCTGGCATAGAATATAAATTGATTTGTAAAATTTTGTTCAAGGGGAAGAGATATCAGGCTCCGATATCAGTGGATCGGAGGAGGAGGATGATGAAGAGGGCGAAGTTGGAGAAGATGGAGAGAAAAGGAAAAAAAGAAGGGGTAAGTTCTTTTTAGTGTTCTAGAAATTAACTGGGGTTGCTATCTCATATGGTTTAACATTCATCTGAGTGCATGCCTTTTGCCATTTTTAGTTATGGTAGCAAGTCACACAAGAGGATATATGCCATATACGTGATTAACTTTGCCTTATATTTTTCTCCTCTGCTGATCTCCTACTTACGGTTGAATCATAATGCCATATGTTCTTTTACAGTTTAGAATTGTAAAAATCTGTGACAGTGGTTATACCATGTAAAGATTTCATTCAGGGTTTTAATTTTATGTGGGGACTTGGATTTGTGTTGGGAACCTAAAATTTTTTTTAGGAAATCAGGATAATGTGGCGTGTTTCTCAAGTGTGGTTAGGCTTTAGAAGTCACTGAATTTTTAAATGATGGATTTGTATGAGGATTCTATTTTTTTAATTTAATACTTTGCATTATAAAATGTACTTTCATTCTTACCCTTTTATGGGGCATTTGTTGCCACGTGTGAAGTAAGTTTGTATTTATTATGATAAAGATATAGATAACAGGCAAAAGAGAGACATATTATAATGGCCCACTTTTCAAATGTTTTTGCTCTTAATGTTTATTTGTTTCAGAACTCTCTTCCATTAATGTGGATCATTAATATGTGGATCATTGTTTGCAAGCTGGTGCATATTTTGCTTGTCTTATTAAAATGATCTTGCTGAAAATAAACCCAGGAGTCCCAAATTTTAAAACCAAAGGTTCTGTAACTTCAAAAGACAGGAAGAGCATGATTTAGAGTAAGAGCATGATTTAGAGTAGAACTATAGTCTACTGGCCCACCACCTGTTTTTATAAAGAAAATTTTATTAAACATCCATGCTCATTTGTTTGTAGATGATGTACAGCTACTTTCTGATGAGGCTGTATGGCCCACAAAGCCTAAAGCACTTATTATCTGTCCCGTAACAGAAAATGCTTGCTGACTCCTTATTTAGATAAATGGTTTTGTGTTCATACCTATTTTTTCATAGACTGTCCATAGCTAAAGCAGATCATAGATTTGTTAAAAATAAAATTTAAAATAGAAAAAAATGCTATTGCTTAATATGTTAAAATATTGATTAGTAGGATACCTTCCTTCTAGGCTTAGAAATTTTAAAATTTTTAGTGAGCCTTTCACAGTTTTGCTGTGAAACCTGAAACATACGTAATTATATCCAATTGCTTGATGTTTTGGTGGAGAGTAAAATTGGAGACAAGCCAAGCTATCTGTGATGAAGGGTAACTCATCATTCCTATAGTTTTAATTGTGCATAACTTTAAATTTTAAAACTCACTTCCTGTAACTTACCAGGTAAATAGTTTAAGTAGACTTAAATGTCACCAAATGCCTTGTTTTTTATTCCTGTCATTCCAAGCCTCTGAGTAACTGCGTTGTAAGTGGGCAGTGGGGTTGGCCCACCGTAGACGCTTAAAGGAACCCAGTTTCTAACTGCCCCATCTGGCTTTGTAACTAGAGAATATTGGGTGGTCTACCAAGGCTGGTATTAAGGGAAAGTGCATTTTGGTTCTTTAATGCAAAGCGTGATTGTTCTTTAAAATTCTCTCTGTGGAACTGAATTTTCCTGTGTGTATGTGTTCATTTTCTTGTCTCCTCTTCCTTTGGCTCCCGTCGGGCTCACTTCCTTGTCTTCCAGGCAGTAGCAGTGGCAGTAGCTCAGACTCTACATGCTCTGTCATAGAGAAGCCTCTGGATAAGTCCTTGCCCAGTGAGTGCTAGCTCTTACATTCTCTCACGGAGCTTTGGCTTTCCCATCACCCATGGGCTTCATTTCAGAAATGCTGCGCTGCTCCCCGTCATTACTTAAAGAGTACATGTTGGACTTCTCAGCAGAACAAAGCATGTGATGATTTCCCCCTTCCTCATTGCTTTCAGTTAACTGTAACTATTAAAACGTGTGCTTAATGCTTATGTTTGAGACAATGGAAGAGAGATTCGTGCTTTTGCAATTGAGATAATGTAAAGAGAGCTAGTAAGCTGTCTGAAAGAATAATTCTTATGGTTCCCTTTTATGTTTCAGGATAAACTTCCAATCCTAGTCAGTAATAAGGGACGTGCAGTAATGAAGCCTGAATTTCTAAAAGTACCGATTACATTTGGCAACACACCAATGCCCATTATAACATGTCTTAAGTTATAAAGATTTTATGCTTTGGTGTCCTACTCTTAGGGGTAGCTTAAGATTGAAAGCTCCCAAAGTTTGAAGCAAGTAAAGATACATTGGTTAGTATTTTATTTCAAATGGCCACTTTCCTCTGTTTCTCAACTACCTGCTTGATTTTAAGAAACTTTCTAAGCTTTGATTAGAGAATTCAGATCCACAAGAAGTTAATGCAGGATCTGTCTAGACGTATTTCAGTCATAAAGGCTTTTTCTTAAACCTTAAATCAGTTGAAAAGTATTACTAATTTTATTTATATTTTTAGAAGAAAAGGGAATTGATTTTTTTTTTCTACTAGATTGCAGCTTACTGCCTTTTAAAGCATTATCTGTGTACTTACTTTTCCAAAAGTAGTAACAAACACGTTTGGTTATTCTTAACGCATTTAGCTTTCTAGAGGAAGAATTCCAAGAATATTAGGAATCGTTTTCTCTCTTGACAATTCTTACATTTTACCAAAACAGTTTTATAGGACAATTTATGAAATACAAGAAATTGCTTTAGAAACCATATAGAGGTATTATTTTGTATTATAAACGGTCAGATATGAGAAAATACCTGAGTGGCATTATAATTTAAGTTTCAGTTTTAAAATTTACCTTAATCTTTAAAGAGTAGTTATATGAAAGTATGTTATGAAATGAGTTGTACTTGGTTCAATTCATGGAGTTTTGGTTACTGTTTGTGTACCTAGCACATAACATTAAGTTCTTCTGTTGTGATGTGGGCGTATTGGTGAAGTGGAAAAATGGTTTTCCCAGCATGTGGTTGCTGTGTGTAACTTATATGTATCTTCCCTTTGAAAAATACGAATGGCTTTTTTTTTTAAGGTGTTCTTTGCTTGAATCATCAGTTGATCATTTACCTCAATGGAATTATAATTACCCTTAACAATCTACTAATGGATTGAATGCAAGTTCGTTAGTATACAGGTGTACTTCACTTTATGCAATTAATTTTTTTTCTGAAAAAATTGCTTATAAATCACATTGGAAAATCAAATCTGTTGGGAGAACTTGCTGTCCTTAATATTTCTTCATTAAATCCTTTTGTTAATCAAATTATCACTGCAGATTACTGTAATCCAATTTATCTCTTTAGTTGATTGAGGTTTTTGTGTTGGATTTTCTTAAAGGGGAGGCACACCTGTATGGGATCTTTATATTAGAACATTGAATTGGGAAATTTTAGAAATTGACAGTGCAAATTTTGCTACTTTTAACTTACTGATTTTTCAAATTGGCATAATTTTCTGTTTTGTCCTTTTACATTACTTCCCAGATCTTAGCAGGTTCCCAATTCCATGTGTACCATTAGTATAACCACTTGGTGCTGAACTGTTATATTTGCAGAAGGCTGGGAGTCATTGTGAGCTCTTGAGATTGATTTAATTGTAATCTTAGTCTAAATTAATGTTATTTGCTTTAATTACATCTCTGATTGTGTTGAATATGTTTTTCTTTTTACATAAAGCTGCTCTTTTTCAGTTTTGATGATTTATTTCTATATTTATACTATAAATAAATGCTGTTAAACATTTTTCTTTGTTTTACAAAGGAAATAATGGTTTTCTTTTTTTTCTCTTCATCTCTGTGCATATGCTTCCTGTCTACGATTTGCTTACTACTCTTACTGAAAGATCAAGCAGGTTGGTGTGATTGATTTGCACTCCACATGGTACAATTATTTAAACTATAAAGAACTTTGTTATTTAACTACATTACATTTTTTAAATTTAATAGTTTTTTTTCAAGGTAAGTATCTGTCTTTTGTATTTAAAAAAATCTTTGAACATTAGCTTTTTTTTTTTTAAACTTTTTCTCCTAAATTAAAAAAAAAATTCATTTCAGTTTTTGTTCAGGAAGCTAGGAACATTCTTGTTTCCAAATGATGTTTTTAGAAGAACAATTCAGAAGTATTAGATTGACAGTGACAACCATACTGGATTCTCTAGACCTAATTGACAAAATAGACAAATATAACACCAGAACCAGATGACATGATCTTTTTTCCTAAATTTTTAAAGATCCGTTAAACCAAATTTTGGTAATACAAATTTAAATGATTTTCACTTTCAAGCTTTTTTTTTTTTTTTTTTAAGCAAGAAGTCAAATGCCTGGTTACTTATGTTCATAGGTGCTCATGTAATGAAAATAAAATTAATTCAGTTAAGTCTTCCCAAAATTCTTCCCTTTCACTTTATCTTGCCGAAGTTCATTTTGGCAGTTTTGGTTGGGATACATGGCAAAGAGCAACTAAAAGTATTACTACTCCTGTTTGGCTTAATTAAATACTGTATGACATCACCATTTTTTTTTAAGATTTGTTTACCTGAAATTTTGTGCTGAATTGTGTCATGCAGTATCAGAAGAAGGATTTTTGGTTGGTTTGGTTAAGATTTTTAGAAAATCAATCTAAAAGTGACTTTTAGTGATGTCATGATTTTAAATGCCTGCTTAGGAAAGTTGGAATATAGTCACACTTAGCCTAACATATTATTTGGAGAGAAATACAGTGATTTATCTGAATAATATTGACTAGAAATTATGTTACTTAAATATTAAACTTTTGAAACTGAACCTAGCTATAAATGCATGGTCATCTCTATGAGAATGTTGTAAGAGCACAGGAAGATTTTTGCTGCTAAAGCAGAAGTTGGAAAATACTACCTGAATGGTTTTTAATAACTAATGCAATTCAGGCCTAGTAGTAATTCATCAACAGGTTGTGCTTTTGTATTTCTACATGTAATATCTTTTTATTTTACTGCCTCTTAATGGGGTTGGAAACTAGGTTTTTAACTGTTAACCAAACAATTAGAACCCTACATGCCTAAAAATTAATGTGCATATGTTTATCAGATCATTTCCACTATACTGTTAGTATCCATGTCTTCAGAGGTTTTTTTATCTTAACATACTTGCTATTTTTTCTTTAAATATTTGTAATTCTGAGGTAGAAAGTAAGTTATAATTTTTTAATGCATGCACTTTATTTATTTTTAAAGATTTTATTTTTACATAGTCTCTATACCCAGCGTGGGGTTCAAACTCACAACCCCAAGATCAAGAGTCAGATGCTCTACCAGCTACACCAGCCAGGCATCCTCTGCATGCACTTAACTTTATACTTGAATCTACACTTTCCCCCCTCAAATTTCTAAGAAATAGTACTACTGATTAGAAATCCTTTCTAGGAGTTCACTGTGAACAAGAATTAGATTACTTTTTAAAATTATTTTTTTTAACAGCATAAATCAGAACATTTAATATAGGTGACTGTGCCAAAGAAGCCAGCATATTCAGGTCTACATCCTGACTTTTGGAATGCAATGAATCACACCACACCAAAGCATGAATTTGGATCAGTGCTCTTATTTACTCTTTTATTTAACTGACTTGTTTTGTGGCTTAAGTTCGCTTTGGACTTTTATTTCTATAGAAATGAAGGGTAATGTATTTTAAACCCTTGGGTTTTTTTTTTTAATATAATTATATCCTAAAGATTTAAAGTCTATGAATAATTCTTCATCTCATAGTTCCTGAAAGTATATATTCAGATATATATCTGCATCATCATTTTTCAGTTCTCTTTCCTTGTTAGCAGGAGGGGCTCGCTTTTGGGTGGAGGCATTAACAATTTATAAACTCCTCTGGTTTACATTCTTCTGTGGTCCTTTGGGAAGGAAGTTAAGAATGACAGAAAGCTTTCAGGAGAGCTTCACACCAATTCTACGAAAAGTTTGATTGTTTTTCTAAAGGAAAGTGTGTTTCAAAGAAATTGTATTACCAGAAATGAATTCTATTTGATTCAGTTTCATAACCAGTTTAATAACCTTGTTTTTTATTTTCTGTTTTTGATTTCTCATTTTAATTTCATGATTTTTAAATTCATTCAGTAAGCTTTTATTGAACAACTGTTGTGTGTATATGAAACACTCAACTAGGCACTATAGTCAGAATAATCAATTGGAAGCTGTATTTCCAGCTTTATTATTTGGTAGTATTTCTACTTATATTTGATGCTTGGCATATTTAAAATGGCTTAGGTTTGGGATCCTGAGTTTGACATAGTAATGAGCTATTTTAGTTGCTCATTTAAGATATGATGATAGATCATGGTAGCTCAGCAACTTTATGTAAAATGCCTGGTTAATTATAATATAACCATTATATAATTAGTATAAAACTTCGTCCTTTAAGGTATACTATGAGATGAAATACTTCCAAATAATTTTATTAGACATAAATTTTAGAAAAACTCTGAAGATACATATTAGAAACTTGCTATTTTGCCTGACACTTGTATCTGTGCAATTTATGTCTATATGTGACTTCTGTTTATTCATTTATTTTAGTAAGTTTTGGGGAGGCATTTTAGGAGGCCACTTGATTTTGTACCCAGTTATCAGAAAAAAGTAACTAAATAATTATACTGCTTTTTTGAACAGATATCTTATTTGGGGACCCATAGATCCTTTGGTTTTTTTTTAATTTATTTGGCTTTCCTTTATTAACCTTTCTCTTTTTTTTCCCTACTTACCTGTTTTGCTTCTCTTTCACATACTTTTGTTCTTAGTTATCATCGCACAATTACACAACATTTTGTTTAGCAATTAGTTAAAAAGTTATTCTAGGAACATAATAAATAGAAATAAAATATTTATTTGATTTCCTTAAAATGTTATATTTTGTATTATTGAGGAATGTGTCTTTATGATTGAAGATAATTTACACAAATCTGAAAAATTGGCTCCAAAGTGATTGTTGGAATTAAATGACTCATATAGGTAAAAAGAAAGTATCCCCAGATAAGATGGTTGAAATGCAAGCAAAAATTGATGAGGAGAGAAAAGCACTTGAAACAAAGCTTGATATGGAAGAAGAAGAAAGAAACAAGGCTAGAGCTGAATTAGAGAAACGGGAGAAAGATCTTCTTAAGGCCCAGTGAGTATTACTTAATTGAGATGGATTCGTGATTTAAATTTCTGGTATTTTTCATAGGATATATAAGAAAGAAAATTGAATAGTAGTTAAAAGCTTGATTTTTGTCTCTCAAATAGCTTTTTTGGATAGAGGGTTTTGTTGTATGTGTTCTGTATCCAAAAATTACATCTGTTTTTATTATTTCATCTCTATGTAGGAGGAAAAATTATCAGTGAACTTGGATGTTATAGATTAAATCATAAGTTAATTTATACTACCCTGTGATATAATTTGATAGAGGTGTTACATAATTTTATCCCAATTTTAAAATTTTGCCTCCAGATACCTGTAAAGTTTTGGGAAATGATATTGATAGAACAGTAGATAATTGACAGATATTCTCATTTTTAATCAACAGACAAGAACATCAGTCTTTGCTAGAGAAATTATCTGCACTGGAGAAGAAGGTAATTGTGGGTGGTGTTGATTTGTTGGCAAAAGCTGAGGAACAAGAGAAACTTCTTGAAGAATCTAATATGGAACTGGAAGAACGGAGGAAAAGAGCAGAGCAACTTCGCAGAGAACTTGAGGAAAAAGAGGTAGTGTGACTTTCTGGTTTTGGTTGACACTTTGCCTTAAGTATTTAAGTCCTCTAGTGAAAAGCTTTGTATCTATCATCTTTAATTAATTAAGTGTAGTGGACACACAGTGTTACACTAGTTTCAGATGTACAACATAGAGTGGTTAAACTTCTCTATATGTTATTCTGTGCTCACCACAAGCGTAGCTGCCATCTGTCACCATATAATCCTATTACTGTATGATTATGTTCCCTATGCTGTACCTTTCATCCCCATGACTTATTCCATAACCAAAGGCCTGTACCTCCCACTCCGCTTCACCCATTTTCCTGTCTCCCCCAGGCCCAACCATCAGTTTGTTTTCTGTAGTGATGGGTCTGTTTCTGCTTTTTGTTTGGCTCCTTGTTCATTTGCTTTGTTTTTTAGATTGCACATATAAGTGAAATCATATGGTGTTTATCTTATATCTATAATCTTAATTAAATTTTAAAGCAGATCTGTGAATTGCTTTGAAAGATAATAGTTGCTAAACATTTTTATCATTTGTTAAAAAATTAAAATTTTGGTTTAATGAAGAAAATTAAAGTTTATCAATTTTTGTTGTAGCAAGAACGCTTGGATATTGAAGAAAAATATACCAGCTTGCAAGAGGAAGCACAGGGAAAAACCAAGAAATTAAAGAAAGTTTGGACTATGCTGATGGCTGCCAAATCAGAGGTTGGTCTCCTAGAAATTACCTACAAAGGTAGCTCTGAATTTAAAAAAAAAAATTCTTTGAGTAAGTATGATTAAGAATCCTAAAGAGATCTTAATGTATGCTTACAATAAAGAAATAACATTTTCTCCTTTGTGTGCAATTTCAAATTTTAGCTATTAAGCTGTATTGTATATTTCCAACCTTAATAACATGGAAATAGTCATTCTGTCCATTGTTTGTTGAAGGAACTGAGTAAGCTCTTACAGGATTTCTTAGGCCAGTGCCTTTATCAGTTGAAATTATTTTATATTTAAAATCTTGTTTGCCCTTAATATTTTTTTTTAAAGATTTTTGTTTATTTATTTGACAGAGAGATAGCAAGAGAGAGAACACAAGCACGGGGGTGGGAGAGGGAGAAGCAGGCTTCCTGCTGAGCAGGGAGCCCGATGCGGGGCTCGATCCCAGGACCCTGGGATCATGACCTGAGGCGAAGGCAGACGCTTAACGACTGAGCCACCCAGGCGCCCCTGCCCTTAATATTTTTATTGATTTTTTGGTAGATGGCTGATCTCCAACAGGAGCACCAGAGGGAAATTGAAGGCCTACTGGAGAATATTCGACAGCTTAGCCGGGAGCTCCGGCTTCAGATGCTTATCATTGATAACTTCATACCTCAAGATTATCAGGTAAGAGGGAAGTTCTCTGTTCTAGATATTATATCACTGGCTAGGGTGAAGAAATAAGGAATGTAAATTATAATTTAATTGATGGTAAATATCTCCAGTTCAGTTGTTGACAGTAAAATTTTCTTGAACTAATGCCATCACATTTCACTTTAGCTGTTAACTTTTCTTAATACATAATTCTAAGAGTATGTAAGTAAGAATTTCTCAGCCCGGCACATTCTGCGTGGAGCACTGGATATTATGCACAAACAATGAACCATGGAACACTATATTAAAAACTAATGATGTAATGTATGGTGATTAACATAACAATAAAAAATTAAAAAAAATTTCTCAGTCCTTTGGAGGGACCCAGATTTATATAATTGCGTTTAGAATCAAGGTATAGGTCCTAGTTATACATTCAATATAATTAATCCTATAAATAGAATAAACAGAACTCCTTTGCTAATTTTTTTTTTTTAACTTTACCACTTTCTTTTTTTTTTTCAAAATTTTTTTATTTTTATTTTAATCACCATATATTACATCCTTAGTTTTTTTTTTTAATTTTTTTTTTAATTTTTTTTTTTTTTGATGCAGTGTTCCATGATTCATTGTTAGTGCATAACACCCAGTGCTCCATGCAGAACGTGCCCTCCTCAATACCCATCACCAGGCTGACCCATCCCCCCACCCCCCTACCCTCTAGAACCCTCAGTTTGTTTTTCAGAGTCCATCATCTCTCATGGTTCGTCTCCCCCTCTGACATACTCCCCTTTTCTTCCTCTCCTGTTATCTTCTTCTTTTCCTTTTTTCTTAACATATGTTGCGTTATTTGTTTCAGAAGTACAGATCTGTGATTCAACAGTCTTGCACAATTCACAGCGCTCACCATAGCACATACCCTCCCCAATGTCTATCACCCAGCCACCCCATCCCTCCCACCCCCAACCACTCCAGTAACACTCAGTTTGTTTCCTGAGATGAAGAATTCCTCATATCAGTGAGGTCATGTGATACATGTCTTTCTCTGATTGACTTATTTCACTCAGCATAACACCCTCCAGTTCCATCCTTTGCTAATTTTTCTCCCTGCTTATGGATACCAATTGTGTATGTGTGTGTGTGTCTATCTGTGTTTGGTGTAGTGTGGTGTATATGATAAAATAAACATAACATGAAATTTACCTTTTTAAACTATTTTTAAGAATACAGTTCAGGGGTGCCTGGGTGGCTCAGTTAAGCATCTGACTCTTGATTTAACTCAGGCATGATCTCAGAGTCGTGAGTTTGAGCCCTGTGTCCAGCTCTGTGCTCGGAGGGGAGTCTGCTTAATATTCTTTTTCTCCCTCTGCCCTTCCCTCCTCACTCTTTCTCTCTCTCCCTCTCTCTCTCCAAAATAAATAAATTTTGAAAAAAAAAATACAGTTCAGTGACATTAAGTACATTCACATCATGTTGCAATCATCCCTGCTATCCATCTCCAGGTGGATGCTGATTCTTAATTCTAGTATAACTTTAAAATCTCAGCATTTCTTTTTCTTTACTCAAAATTTCTATTTTTCTAATACATTTTAGTAAACCTTAACATACTGATTTTTCAAAAAAATTTGAGTATATAAAGATTTTTTTCTGAAAATAAGCCTTAGTATTTTTTCCTTTGGACCTCAGGAGCACAGAATTAATTGGTTCATGGTACATTCTTCTTATTGGTCTTTGGATGACCTGCCTTTATTTAGTTGGTTAGTTTTGTTTGTTTGTTTTGGTTATTTTGTAGTGAACTTGTCATCAATAACAAAAGCTAATACCACAACAGTAACCTACTTCTAACCAAATGGTTTCCCTCTTCCCTCCCTTTGCCTCTTCCAACTCAAGGTAACCATCATCCTGAATCCCATGTTTTTTATGTTCTTTCCTTGCTTTTTATGTAAGAATATAGTTTACTTGCATTTACATGTATTTTTTCAAAGTCTGTATTTTTAAATATATAAAAAAGTTATAATGCAGTATATAATGTTTTGAGGCATCTTTTTTTTACTTAATATATTAAAATTTTAGTTTTGTGAATATTTTCCAGTATTTCAAATGTTATTAAATATTAAAAGTAGACCATCTTTGATTCTTAAAAGGAAATGATTGAAAACTATGTCCATTGGAATGAAGACATAGGAGAATGGCAGCTAGTGAGTATTATCTTCATCCTTCCATGAAATACTTATGGAGTGTTTCCTATAGACTGGATCTGTGCTGGCTGTGAGGGGAGAAAGATGGTCCAGAGAATGAATCAGATGACAATCCACTAGGGTGGATAAGATGTTTTCCTAATTAACTATATCATAACACACAAACTTTTCAGGGGAAATGATGTAGTTTGGGGCTTCATAGGACTGTATGACGTGTAAATCCCTTTCTTTTCCAGCATTCAAATTTCGAGCATGTTTTATGAGTGTAACATCAGTGCATCTCATAGTAATTTGCCTTATTTATAGTACTAATTGCTAATTAAGACATTTTTCCTCCCTCCCTTTTTTTTCCTTTTTTGAGAAATGTGTTGCCTACACAGGAAATAACATGAGGAAGCAGACTCCAGCTCCTGATAAAAAAGAGAAAGATGTAAGAGTGCTTTTTTTTTTTTTTTTTGGTAACTACAGTTCCTTTATTAGGAATTGGGTCACTAAATTCTGTTATCAATATGATATAAAACAATCAGCTCTGCTGAAAAATAGGCAGATCTCTTGGGAAGAGAAGCCCCAGGAGGGGTGATAGAGGACCTTTCTGCTCTCCTCAGTCATGAGGGCAGGCTTATGCTTTGTACGACAGGAGGGGCAGGGCGCTTTCTTCAGAGCACCCTTTGCCCCCTCTCCAGGCTGTGGGGGGATAGTTAGAGACCAGAATGGGACTGTACTTCTGTGAACTAGACCTAGACTTGGGTCAGCAAGAGCAGCAGTTGTAGGGAAAACAGCAGCAGTCCTCCTTTCCCGTAAAGGAATTTATAGTTTGTCGGGGCTTCTTATTTACCACCCCTTGGTGAATACATCTGAGACAAATGGCATTAGAAGAAGATATCCTTAGACATTTCTTTGGTCTTGTGTTCTGCAGGTTTTTTCTAGGAGTTTATTCAGTTTTTTACATCTTCCCCCCACATCTGGTTTAAATCCTTCCTATAAGAGTGTCTTGTGTTTGTTCCCTTTACTTAGCCCTTTGAAGTGGACATTTCCCACGTGTATCTTGCCTACACTGAGGAGAGCCTCCGGCAGTCCTTGATGAAATTAGAGAGGCCACGGACTTCGAAGGGGAAAGCAAGGCCTAAGACAGGGCGAAGGTAAGGACTGCCTTTCAGTACTAGGAAATAAAGGCAACAGGATATTCTGATTGGACACATTTAGAGGAAATTTAGTTGTAATAAGTATTTTAGCTGTATTAAAAAGATGCATTTTAGATGTATTTAAATAAATGTCAGAGTCCTTATGTAGTTATGATTTGAGTAAGTGAAAACTAAAGAATTAAGTCTTCCAACTTCTTTAGCCCTCCTCAGTAACAGAGTTTATTTTTAATTTACTTTGTTCTATCCAAATGTATTAGAAGTCATCTGTTATCTTAATCCCTTAATTCTTAATAGTAATTCTTCTAGTGAGATGCTGATTCATTTGCCTGGTCGACTCCCAATGTCTTGTATTTGCTGCCTTGCTTTTCTATCGTAAACACTGCCCCAAGAACCTTGACCTTCTCAGTCACCAGTTAAAGGAAACTTGTCTGACCATCTTTCCCTCTCTTTTGAGTACTGGTTTTGACTGTTGAGTAGTCTATATGTATCATAACAAGCCCAGGGAAATCGGGGATAGAGCTTATTTCTTCTCTCCCTTCCCTACATCAAGTACTATTCTGCTTATTTAAACCGATTGTAGTACTTGGGGCTCCTGAAATGATAGGAAATATTCAGCTTATTTTTCCCCCTACTTTGAGTATAGAGACTTCTGAGTTACATGTAAGATAAAGTTGTATGGTTTTAATATTTTTGTGTTACATAATATCATAGATATAGCCTAACATTTATAAATTTGGTTTAGTTGAACTCAGGAGGAATCAATAGCATTTTAAAAGTGTACGAGTTTTTACCTTTTTTAGCATTTAGATGCCAGTTGTTAAAAACTTTTCGTATGTCACCAGAAGCCATGTGCAAAATATTTAGTGAATGAAGAAACCAAAGAAACACAAATCCCATTAGATCTTTTGTTTTTCCATTTTTTAATAGAGAGATTTTCCTCTTAACTCTGCAGTTGGTAAGAAAAATTACAGTGCAAGGGGTGATGATAAGCGGTAAGGCAGTTGGCCTCAGCGTAGGAGAAAAATAAGACAGTGGCTGGGACTGGGGCAAAGTGGAGAGTGGTCTGTCTGGAGTAAGTGGCTACTACCCCTGTTCCTAGTTAGTTTGGGGAATAAAGGGCCCACTGTTGCTGGATCTTCTCGTTTCAAAGGAAGAGCCAGAAATCCAGATTATTTACATGACATCTCACAGTTTTTGTCACTTTTTTTTTTAAACCATAAGGACCTAAAACAAACAATTTCATAAGGTATGTGGTTATAGTTTTCAGAATACTCACTTAAAAATATTTATTTTGTGGTTTAACATAAAAAAAGTTCATTTGAGCCTACATTAGATGAGCCACACTTACCATTCTCTGTGTACCAAAATTAGCCTTCTGTATTATGAAAATAATAGATGGCCATAAACATAGGTAAATATACATAATATAAGGTTTATTGATACTGCATTACTTTACCTGATAATGTTCAATGGGATATCCTCATTAGAAATGCATAGGTCAATGTGCCAAGCAAAATTCCAGTGAACACAGTACGTTCATGTAGCATTTCCATTGGTCCATTGTCTGTAAGGTGTTGCTTCAGATGATTTGTGTCTCCTTTTTTCACTGAATGAACCTGTACCTTCAGCATGCCCCAGAACAGATAATCAAGGGGTTCAGGCCTGACAAGCACGCAACCCACCTGGCCTAGCCTGTCTAGTCCAGCTTTAGAAGTTTTCATCCACTCAACCCCTCACGTTCTGGTTGGGGGCGTGGAGTGCCGTGCTCTTGCTCCTACTTGAGGCAACTTCCCCTGGCCTAAAAAGGTAGGCTTTAGTTGATCTCTTAACATAGACCTGTCAAACGTTGGCCTGTTTCTAGACCTTATGGCCACCCTGTATTACCTGCTACCTAATGTAAAGTGTTTGCATTCAGTTTTCTAGGAAAGCATTCATGTTTTCTTTTTCTTTCCTCCAAACAGAAAGCGTTCTGCAAAGCCTGAAACTGTAATTGACTCTTTACTTCAGTAAATGTTACAGACTTAAAGTCACAATAAAAATTAGTGATATTCTCATGCCTGGACAAAATCTTTACTTAAAACACTGAAGACTATTCTGTAATTTCAAATAACGGAAGCTGTAAGTCATGGAGTAAGACTGGAACTAATGAATTGCCTAGTAAGTCTTAGTCAATATAAATATTAATGTCATTAAAATTGTACAACTGGTAATTCTTCAAATTGTCATATTATGCTCCAGTTGATACTGTGCAGGGAAGTTGGAGGAGCAGCTCTTACTATAGAGAGTTGCAGTTTAAATGTATACGTAAATCTGCTAGTGATTTATTCAACTGCTGTAATGATTAGGTAACTAGATAGTCAAAATAGAAGAAAAACGTAAGTCCTGTTTTTGCACACAGAAAGTAGCAGATCTCATTGTCCTGTGTTGTGCTGTCATATATGAATGTGTGGGCTGCATATCTAAGACATTATTCGATCCTAACACCCGCGTGGCCTGTTTAAAAATGTTCTAATTTTTACACTAACATTCATTGTGTTTTAAGTATAAGATAACTCATCTTACTGATCTTGAGAAAATTTTATAATTCAACAGTCTTTAGAAGTATACATGTTTAAAATACAAAAGTTGGAAATACGTTTCTTCTTCGACCTTTTTTGCCACTTCAAGTCAAATGCACTTTTTTTGTTCTGGTTTTGTGTTCTCTTGAAGCATTGAATTTGTATGTAGTTAGAAAGGAGTCACAGTTGCAGAAAATTAAGAAACTAATATTGGTCACTGATCTTTGCCCATATGTGTATATTTTCTAAAATTCACTTCGAAGTGTGACTAATGGATGCTTGGCTTTCCTATGTCTGAGTTCTAAATTGTGATGGAAATTGCTCTGTATCTCCCAACTGAGAAAGGTCTCCATTTTCCACAAAATGCAACCAAAGCAGAAAATATGTGTCTTTCAATTCTTTGGCTTTAAAACACTTTGTTTTGCTTTTATTCATATTTTATAAGAAGAAAATATTTTTCCCTAAATTTCTTTTATTGACAACTCCCAGTTAGACCATATTCCTCTAAAAATAAGAAATTTTATTTTATAGTAAATAAGTTGGAATAGAATTGTTCTTATGTTGGCTGCTTAAAAATTTGAAATTTTTCATAAGTCAAGCTACTCCTAAACCACTTAATATTTTTTATGATTTTAAAATTATGTAATCAGGCCTGAAGTCCATTGGTTGCAAGTTTGAGACTTCATAAATAAGTATTTACTAAGTGAACAGTATTTTAATAAGTTTGGTTAAATATTGGTTTGTAGTTACAAAGCTGTGTATAAAGTGGGGGTGAGCGAAGGTGGCGTACTTGTGAGGTGGTGGTAAAAATGTGTCCCTAAATTTAAAGTACATTCCAAAGGTGGTGTACTAAACGTCCTGTGTGTAGTGTATATTTTCTAGTTAACAAGAATTGCATTTAACTGGCAGCATTTTCTTTGCAATGTGTAAGACAGAAGTTTATGACTTCTGTGGGGCATTGTTTAGGTACTGTGAAGACTAGAGGTAAATTTGTGTCTTGTAAAAGCTTTGTGTGCACAGAGTATCTTCGCAACTGTAGATGCACATTTAACTGTTAGTAATTGCTCTAGAGAAATCTTCATTTTACCAGTAGAAAAAAAACAGATGCAGACTTCTTTTTAAAAGTCCTTATTTCTAGCCTTTAACCATCCAGTTAATAGGAAAGGAATAACTTTATTTTTTATTTATTTTATTTTATTTTTGAGTAGAGTTGACACTGTGTTCCATTAGTTTCAGGTGGACAACATAGTGATTCACCTGCTCTGTTACGCTGTGCTCACCACAAGTGTAGCTCCCATCTGTCACCAGACAGCACTCTTAAAATCGTTGACTGTATTCCCTTTGCCGTGGGAAAGGAATAACTTTGGCATTAAGCTTATTTAAAACATAGGACTTTTAAGCCAGTATGTTAGATTTATTTTTCTATTCCACTTCTGCTGCAGTAACAAAAAGAAATCTGTAAAAAGTCAAAACATTGTGGAATTTACAAAACAGGCCACTTTAGTAGTTATTATTTTTTTTAAAGCATTTACATTAGAACTGATTATACCAGATGTACATTAGATATTCATTTTATGAAATACCAAAATAAGATATTCAAGCCAGGCTTGAATATCCATATGAAAACATGGGATACTGACTTTAGAGTTATTCATTTAGCTTTAATCATAGCAATTCTGTGGTTTCTTCACGTGTACTGTGTCTTTGTCCATAAAATGAAATATTTTGTAACTTCAGTATTAATTTCGTGAAAGGATATAGATGAAGAAACCTGTTCATTATTTGAAATAAATAGGCAAATTTAAAATGAGTGTCACAGGGGCGCCTGAGTGGCTCAGTCCTTAAGCGTCTGCCTTTGGCTCAGGTCATGATCCCAGGGTGCTGGGATCGAGCCCCACATCGGGCTCCCTGCTCCGCGGGGAGCCTGCTTCTCCCTCTCCCACTCCCCCTGCTTGTGTTCCCTCCCTCGCTGTGTCTCTTTATGTCACATTAAAAAAAAAAAATCTTAAAATGAGTGTCACATATAAATAGGTTGTCGAGTATTTTCTCTTTAATTTAAAAAAGTAATGTTTATTTATTAAAAGATACCTTGGTAGAATGTATGTTCTTTAATAAACCCTGTTTTAAAATCTCAATTATATATACTAATAATTAAGATATTAAAATATAGTAGTACCCCCCCATTTTTGTTTAGATTCTTGTAAAATATAAGCTTAACCAAGGTATAGGGGGGTGGCTTGCATCTTTGTGTTTTTCTGGCAAGTAGAGTCCATTTGACAAGGTATGTCCTCTTTTTTTCTGGGGGAAGGGGACCTTTTTTGCAGCAAGAAATTTAAGGTTACTTTGGGGGAGGGGGTCAGTGCTACTTCGTCTGTAACATGTTTTTTTTAAAGTTATGATTATGGATTTTGGGTTGTTTTCAGTCTTTCAAAAATATCTTTCCCCTTAACTCTTGTATTAAGGGAAGTCCCTCTTTCCTACAGGGCTCCGAATTAAGGAATGGGTAGAGTTTACATTTAAGCACGCCAGTGTCTGCCCAATTTCTTAATGTATTCATTTGTTTTCCTTTTTAGTGATTCTTTGTTCTTAAAATGCTAGAAGAAAACATAGATCTTCCTAGTGCCTTTGAACTTACACTGTAGTTTGATTAATTTAAATCATTAATAACTTCAGTAGGATTACTACAATACTGTATACTGGCCAAAATTGCAAATCTTATAATGAGTTTGTTGCATCAGTTTCAAAAGCCACACCTTCATTGTATTTTATGTATAAATTGTATTTGTTCAAGTTGTATATATTGATATTGTATGTATACATGCAGCATGGTTAGGTTAGAAATAAAAATCTTTACCTAATACCTATAGTGGTGGTCTGCTTCTTTCCTGAACTGTCTTGTGTTTACGTCCATCCTGATATTAATAAGTATGGTCTTTGTGCTTGGCATCTCAATTTTGTATGGTTGAGAGAAACCAGTGTCATTTTACACCCAAAACATTTCATGTTGTGAGTCTAGAAACAGAAATCGTCATGAAACATAAACCTGGGAGAAAGGTTTTAAAATGTGCTTCTTCTGGGCACCTGGGTGGGTCAGTTGGTTAAGCGTCTGCCTTCAGCTCAGGTCGTGATCCTGGGGTCCTGCATCAGTGGGGAATCTGCTTCTCCCTCTCCCTTTGCCCTCCACTCATGCTTGCTCTCTCTCTCTCTCGCTCTGTCTCTCTCTAGTGCTCTTTCTCGCAAACAAATAAAATCTTTAAAAAATAAAAAGGTAAAATGTGCTTCTAATTGATAACATTTTTGGGGGGGGCGCCTGGGTAGCTCATTCAGTTAAGTGTCCCACTCTTGATTTCGGCTCAGGTCATGATCTCAAGGTCGTGAGCTTGAGCCCTGTTGGGCTCTGTGCTGGGCATGGAGCCTGCTTAAAATTCTCTTTCCTTCTTCTGCCCCGCCCCCCACCCTGCACTCAAACAAACTTATTTTTACCAAAAATATTTTTATCCAAATTTTGTTATCCTTTTTCACTTGGTATTTGAGAACAGAATCTTAAAGAGGTACGTATGTAAAATGTATCTAAAAGGTAAAAGGAGACATTTCTTAGTGCTACGATACCATGATCTCTTTTAAAAGTTTTTAATGAGCTTAATCTGCAAGACAAAACATTGCTTGAATTCTTGTTAATCATGTATTCTTGTAACAGTTTATTAGCAGGCTTTGCACTGGGTGGCCTTACGAAAGTCAGGGCAGGCAATGAGAAGTTTTGATTCGTCAGCAAGTCTCAGAGGACTTAAATGTGCTTTTCGCAAAGGAGACTCCTTTGGCCCTTTCTGGGCTCGCTCTCTTCCTTTTCCCAACTGCTAACTTAGGTCACACTCCTACAGTATGTGGAACACGAAAACAAGATGAAAGACCTGCCATGGCCTAAGCAAGAGAATAAATAGTGCTGCCTTCACATCCTCTGCCCATCTTCCCCAGTTGAGTTTTGGAGCTGCGACACTTTCACCAAAGCCATACCACTAAGATGCACCTGCTACCGCCCGCCTGTGTTGTCAGGATGCTGCTGAGGACATTGTCTGTCCTAAAGAAGACCCTGCAGAAATCTCTTTTAAAAAGCCAAGTACAAAAACAAAACAAAGCAAAAAACAGCTGAGGACCAGCCTAGGGGACCACAGTTAGCCAGGGCTTGCCAGAGCAGTCCTGAAGCCACAGCCTAAACTTAAAGTATTTGTTACAATAGTAGCTGAATGTCTCATTCTTAGGCTGTTTCATTTGCAAAACAAATCAGGTCTTCAGTCCTCCTTCGGAAGTTGAACAAATGTGTGGGAAAATTATGAAGAGGCTACTTCAAAAAGAACCTGTTTCCTCTCAGCATTTATCTTGGGCTTCCTGTGACCCAATCTTCAAGTTACTTTTATCAACGTTATCAGAACATCACTTTTGTCTTACCCAAACACGTTTATGGCTCTGACTAAAGAATATGACAGATCACACGTTCTTCCACACCTGCTCCCCTCCCCCACCCCTTTTCAGAGGGCTGGGGAAATTTTAGTTTTTAATCAAAGGCTTTACTTCTCCAGTGGTACAAAGGAATTTAACTGGGACTTTACAACTGCATAAAATATTTCTCAGAGTTGATGCTAATCTTAGTGAGAGGATATTGCCTAACCCAACCTAAAAGTACCAGAGTCATTACAGAAATATTATGTTGGCCTTGATTTCTACTCCATCACGAACTGTGCCACTCCGTCACTGGTGTCTTCTCTATTTACTGTGTGCCCATGTGGTACTGGGTGGAAGGTCTTTGCGATGCTCCAGCCTCCCCCAGGAGGGAGAGGTGACCCTGGAAATGAGAATGGCAGCTCAGCATGTTGAGGGCTGTCATTCAGGAGTGGGAATGGTGAGCGGCCAGTCCTGGTGTTCTTCCCGAGCAGCCAAGATGGTATCTAGCACATACCTACCTGACCACAAGGTCAGAAGAGGCTTCTTCCCAGGGAAAGTGCTTTTGAAGATGTCACAACATCTTCGGGTAAAGCATCCCGGGCAGCAGGAGTAACACGAATCTGGCTGCCGGGGGCACGGGTAG